CTTTCCCTAGTTTTCTTCCCCCTTTCCATGACCTCCTTCCTTTTCTCCTTCTCTCATTCCTTACTTATAGTTCTCTCATTCCTTTTACATTCCTGAAAACAGGGGTAGTTCATCTCAACTAAACAATAATTTTCAGTTACTCACTGGTGAGAGGGTCTATGCTACTTGGGAACTGGTAATTCTTCAAGGTGTCAAACCAGGGACGGCGTTTGAATTTGCAGCAAAGCATCTCACAGTAATGCTCCTCCTCTTCAACTTTCGCAGCTTCAGGTTTTAATTCAGCAGGGGGTGGGGGAAGTGGTTCTGGAGGCTTTTTCTTGGCAGGGGCTAGGAAAACCCATAGAAACATTGAAAACAGTGCAAATTTTTGCCAAACTACAGATCTTATATTTGTTTTGTAAGTGTCTATTAAAATGGCCACCTTCACAAAAGGCCACTTTACATTAACAGCAAGGAGTTCTTGTTCATGGCTTCAAGCTACCTTCATAGACCAGCCTGTCATAAAGACCTAGAAGTATCTCAGCTTTCATATCAAACCACTCCTGTGTCTTTAACAACAGGAATAACAAAATATATGCAGCCTCTTCATGGTGAAAAATTCAAAACACTGTTAAGCTAACAATATACTTAGTGTTACAACACTCCTTTGAGTCATGTAGGGGTTGTTACTCCTTTGTACAGGGTCAAGATTGCTAGTTATGGCACTTTGTATGGGGAGCAAATGGGGAAAAGGGATTAAAGTACTTTTTTTTTTTTTGCATAGAGGATTACACTGAAATTGCCAATCATTTCACTGAACTCTGCTCCAACAGTATTACTGATATACACAAACCATCTAATCCAAACACATTTGTTCAATAATTCCCTTTTGGAATACATCTCTGTTATTCTGGAAGACCAGCTTTCAATGTACAAACTCAAATAATTGCTTTTGTTCCTTGGGCTTTATAAAGCAACAAAAACCTGTCTGAGTTGCTACGATGTCTGTCCTCATTGACTTTCATCCTTTGACCCACATTATACCCATCACCTAGGAGCTTCCAACTCAGCTCTAACTCACATGCCACGGGGCTTTCATCTTCAGAAGAAACATCTGGGTCAATCAGCTTCTCCTTCACTTTTTCAGTCCTGTCCTTAAAGAGCTTCACTAGCTCCTGCAGCCGGTCATTGATGATTGCACTGCTCTGGCTGGTTGGTGAACCCATGTGATCTGGCATACTGTAGAGAAACCAACACAGAATTTCCTAATTGGGGGGTGGGGGGAAGCAAGGGATCTATTCCAAGATCTATTTTTTAAGCTGTAGCTCCCTTAGTTAGGATTTAGCCCTGCCAGGGTTGCCATCAAATAGGTTATCATATCACACATGATCTTGTATAAATTCTCAGATTTCAGTCAATGTCACAGGTTCATGAAGTACAGATGTTTCAAAGGGCCTCTACTAGAAAAGACTTGGAAATTCCTCAGATCAAAGGCTGCTATCTGCCATGTATCTCTGTGCTCCTGATACTAGGAGAAGGTTTTGGTTGTGTAACATCAGATGGAAAAGTGGGTGAAAGTCCAGGAACACCTAGGGTCCAGCTTTTTGGAACTTATTTTTGCTAAAAATTAGGTCAGGTTAAAATTAGATTGCATTATCTGACATAATTGCGAAGTCAAGTTTAACATATGTGTAGACACATACTATCCATGTTTAACTTCATGTTAATTGCTGGTTATTCATCCTAAAGATCCTACATGGTTAGCTGATACAACAGTCCCTATCTATATGGATTGCTAAATCCTACTTAAAAATTAGTTAAAGTAACTCCTCAATGTCTTTTATTGCACTATAAATTTCTCTAGTGAATACAAACTGGCAAACAGATGGTCCTTCTCAAGACTGCTCCATTTGTAGAACATCATAAGGAGATCCAACACTAAGTGTATGTGATAAATATATTCCCTTTGTATTCCAGAAGGAAGAAAAGGGATGGTTGTGTGGAATCAATAGAAGTTGGCAGCACACCATCTCTCTAATGCTCTTCAAATTAAAAACGCAACTCCTCTTCATGTTGAACCAAGTCTTAAAATCATAAGAATACAGGGCTGGAAGAGACCTCATGAAGTCATATAGTCCAGTCCCTTGCTCAAGGCAGAATCATCTCACTCAAGTATTCATCTAACCTGCTAATTAAAATTTCCAGGGATGGCGATTCAATTGCCTCTTAGGTAGCCTGTTTCAGTACTTGACCACCTGCATAGTCAGAGATTTCGTTCTAATCTTCAACCTAAATTTTCTCTCCTGTAGTTTTATGCCACTGCTCCTAATTCAGTCCTCTTCTGCCACAGGGAATAGTCTATCTCAATGATTGTTAACCAGGATACCATGACTTCCTGGGATGCCGCAAGATCTTTTGAAGGGTGCCATGAGGTGTGAGCAAATAAGCAGATACATGCAGACTCAGACTCCTCCCTGCTTGGCTGCTCTCCCGTCCTCACTGCCCAGCCCCCCTGTTGTAATAAGTGTTGTAATAAATAAAATTCATTTTTTAAAATTTGGATGCTGCTCAATTCACAAAAATTATGGAGGGCTGCCTTGAGTCTAAAAATGTGAAGTCTAAAAATTCTCTTAATAATCTCCATTCAGGTATTTGAAGACTATTATAAAACCTCTCTCAGTCTTCTCTTCTCCAGACTCAGTAAAGCTAGTTCTTTCAACCTTTCCTCATAAATCATGAGTTTCGTAACTCAAGTCTTCTAGTGATGCTTATGAAGATGGCGATATTTGGCAATGCATAATTTAAAATAAAATAGATATTAAAATCAACTTTAAAAGAGGTTCTTAGATCTTTGATTCAAAACTATGTTATTTTTTCACTACATAGTACACGTTCTATGATTTTAGATGCAAAAGAACCAAGTCAGTAATAATAATTAGAACATTTTTACCTAATTACATGCAGAACTAAAGGAGCAGTTTCTACTCTGGCAAATGCATGCTTATTTCCATATTCACTGCACATTCTAAGCACTGCACTTGTACATCTTAATAACAAAACTGATTAGAAAATGGCTGCATAAATCTGGGTTTCTCATTTCACAAGGTTACCTTCCTTGCCAGTCTCTGGATGGGGATGGCAGTGGAGAGGTAAAAGTGAGCTCCTCCAGGGTGTCATCATGGGATTCGTGCTTCTTCCTAAAGAAAAGTAACAACTGATACTTAGCAAATGGAAGCCAACACTCTCCCTTCCCCTCTTGCTTCCTTTGCATTTATCTTTATGTTCTTCTGCCTATTTCCTTTTTCCTTGTTCTCTCCCTATTTTAGGGAAAAAATATAAATAGAAAATTAAAAGCAAGATGATGATCTTAGGAAGAGGAATAATCAGAAAGAAAGTTTTCTTTGCCCCTCCTTTCACTTACATACATACATATAAATCTTTGTGCAGGCTTATAAAAAGGAAACAGAAGATCAAAATGGTTTACTATGCAAAACTACAGAACTTCACAGAAAGCTGCAGTCCTGGCTCTTGCATTTCGGCCAAAGAAAGGCAGTCCATAAATGATGCCTGTTGAAAATATATCATTATCCTTATGAAAGCAACAACTTGGTAGGTAATTATGTTAAACATAATATTGCTCACTCTTCTTATTATTAATAATTTTTTCTTCCTTATCAATGCCAGACAAACATTTACAAATGTTTCCCTCTTTGGGGAAGAAACTCTCTTCTACTGTATGTTTAGGTATCACCTAACACAACAAGAACCTGATCTCTCTCAAGGCCTCTAAGCACTAATGTAATGCAAATACACTAGTGTGCAGCTGGCACAACATCTGAATGGGACCTGGGGGTCACAACCGACCAGAAGATGAATAGGATCCAAGAGTGTGATGAAGTTGTCAGCAGGGCAAATAGAATTCTGCTGTGTATCAGCTGATGTGTTGCCAGCAGATCCAGAGAGGTGCTTCTCCCCCTCTACTCAGCATTGGTGAGGCTGCAGCTGGAGTACTGTGCCCAGTTTTTGGCACTGTACTTCAAGAAGGATACAGATAAGCTCAAGAGGGTGCAGAGAAGGGCCACCTGCATGATCAGGGGCCTGGAGGATAGGTCCTATGAGGAGAGACTAGGTTTCTTCAGTGTGTGTAAGAGGAGGCTGAGAGGTGACTTGAAAGCCACCTACAAGTATGTCAGGGGTGAGCACCAAGATCTGGGGGAGCAACTGTTCAGGAAGGCACCTCTTGGGAAGATGAGGACCAATGGTCACAAACTAACAGAGGGAAGATTTAGACTGGACATAAGGAAGAACTTATTCTCCGTAAGGTTAACTAGAACTTGGAACACACTTCCGGCAGACATGGTACCGTCGCCATCCTTGGAAGTATTCAAGAGGAGGCTGGATAACTACCTCGTTGAGCTAGTTTGAGCTCATTAACCTCCTGCCTATGGCAGGGGACCAGACTTGATGATCTTCCAGGTCCCTTCCTGTCCATTGATTCTATGAAATAATAAATCTTCATCCTCATCATAAAATAAAACCAGCATGGGGTTGCTCAGTGTATCACTTGGTAGTAACCTGCACTGTCATTTAGGAAACCAGGTTCTGGAGCAACCATAGGAATCCATGTACGCAAAAAGAAGAAGTCATTATAATACCAGAGAACAAAGTTCTCAGTCTCTGAGAAGTGGGTTTGCCATTGTTAACAGGTGTTCGAGCCCACTGTAACAGGCTCAACAAAATACAGTTACAAGCATAGACACAGCACACTAGTTTGCATTTGTATGTCCTATGTGAGAAATCTGGTTACATGAGGAACTAGATGACCCTATCTGTCTATTATGACAGATCATAATGAGTGGCTAAGCAATATTCAGACAAACTCTTCTTATGCAGGTCATTCCTAAAATATATGAAAAATTCCTTCCTCATTTTATGCCTAGGTCAAAATTCACTCCAGGGAAACCTGAATGAATCCCATACCCTGCTTTTTCTAGCCATCTCTGCTTGTAAGGACAAAAAAACACAAAACTTTGATTTAAAAGACAGTGAGGACCAAAATTCTCTCTCAGGTAATTTCAGTAGATGTTTTAGAAGTGAAACAAACAATAACTTGAACCAGAGTCTCTCTCTCACATACTTGATAACATCAAGACTCATGCAGTTGATAGTCCTGAGCTAACTGATAAAACTAGAGAGCTAAAAACAAGGTGCACTGGGCAAGATTTAAATTTTAGATGCAAGTAATTCCTGTAGCAAGTACCTAAACATATCAGGTGAATCATCACTCGCCTCCTCATTATATAAGGATTAATTTCAGACTCAGCAAAGTCTTAAGCTTGAACTGTACTACGGATTTAAAAAAGTAGTTAATAGTTTCCTGGCAGAACAGAACCCCAAGTAAATGAAGCATATTAAGATACAAACATCACATTATTGCTTATCTCTAGGGAAAATAAAAACAAACAGGTGCAATGGGCATAGAAGCAACATGAAGAAATGGAGGAAACAGTAGTTTCTTCCAAGTGCAATGGTGGACACTAGGGTTGTGCAAAGCTTCGGATCACGATTCAGATTCGGAGACGATTCGGATGATTCAGAGGCAGAATCTACAAACCCAAATCAAATCGCTGGAAGCTTTAGGCTTTCCGAATCGATTCGGAGATTCAGCCATAGAGTATAATGGGGAATCAATGAAATATCTATAACTTTGTTGTCTTTTGGCTGATTCAGATGAAACCTGCAGGGATGGTAGCCTCTGCTGAGAGCATGATGCATGTCTTGGTTCAAGGTGATAGGTGCAGGGGTTTCTGGGAATCTGCACCTCAAAATCCTGAAAGCAAAACTCAGGTCATGTGTGTTTGTTAACAGTGGGCTGAAAACTGCAGGGGTGGTAGCTCTTACTGAGGCCACAAAGCCTGCCAAGTGTCAAAGAGATAGGTGCAGGGGTTTCTTGGAAACTGTACCTCAAGCTACTGACAAGTAAAACTCATGTCATGTGTGCGTGTTAAGCCACATTGGGGTGAAAACTGCAGGAATGGTAGCTGTTGCTGCGGCCACAAATCCTGCCACATTTCAAGGAGATAGGTGCAGGGGTTTGGGGGAAACTGTACCTCAAGCTGCAGACAAGCAAAACTCATGACATGGGTGACACTGTGTGTGTTAAGGTGCAGCAGGGTGAAAGCTGTAGGCCTGCTAGCCCCTGCTGAGGCCATGAAGCCTGGCAAATTGGCTTAGGGGTCACACCCAGAGAGTGGTGGTGGACAGGTCAATATTGACCTGGAAAGATGTGGGCAGTGGAGTCCTGCAAGGTTCGGTCCTTGGACAGGTGCTATTTAATGTCTTCATCAGTGACTTGGATAAGGGCATAGAGAGCACCCTGTCCAAGTTCACAGATGATCCAAATTGTGGGACAAGGTTAACACAGCAGAGGGTAGGGAACGGATCCAGGTGGATCTGGACAGGTTGGAAAAATGGGCAGAAGGAAATAGGATGCAGTTCAACAAAGACAAGTGAAAAGTGCTGCACCTGGGTAGAAAGAACCACCAACACACTTACAGGCTGGGGGATTTCTCAGCAGCACAGCAGTGGAAAGGGATCTTGGAGTCATAGTTGATTCCAAGATGAACATGAGTCATCAATGTGACTAAGTGATCAACAAGGCTAACTGCATTTTATCATGCATTAGCAGATGAATGATGAACAGGTCCAGGGAGGTGATGCTTCTCCTCTATGCGGCACTGGTCAGGCCACAGTTGGAGTACTGCATCCAGTTTTGGGTGCCGTATTTGAAGAGGGATGCAGTGAATCTTGAGAGGGTTCAGAGGAGGGCCACTCATATGGTCAGAGGCCTGCAGACAAGGCCCTACAAGGAGAGACTGAGGGACCTAGATCACTTCAGCTTTCACAAGGGAAGGCTGAGAGGTGATCTTGTGGCTCCCTATAAATTCATCAGGGGAGGGCAGCAGGGAATAAGAGATGCTATATTTACTAGGACACCCCCTGGAATAACTAGGAACAATGGCTACAAATTGATGGAGAGCAGATTTAGGTTGGACATTAGAAAGAACTTCTTCATAGTAAGGGTTACCAGAATCTGGAATGGGCTTCCAAGGGAGGTGGGGCTCTCCCCTACCCTGGGGGTCTTCAAGAGGATACTGAACAAGCACCTAGGTGCGGTCGTCTGATCCCAGTGCTCTTTCCTGTCCAGGGCAGGGGGTCGGACTCGATGACCAGCTGAGGTCCCTTCTGAACCAAACATCTATGAACCTATGACTTCAGGGGAGGTTATCTTTCTTCCAAGTACAAGTACAGTTCATCCATTCATATAAGCATTTTCCTCTTGCAAAATAACAAGGTTTTTAATGCATGAAAAGACTGCACAAGCAATCATTTTGGAACAGTTTAAAAGTGTGTGTCTAATTTCTTTGAATGGGTATTTGTACTTTCTTGAAAGACTTCTACTTAAGGTATGCAAATTATATTCTATCTCTAAGTGGCACAGTATTATTAATCTCTATTTTCTATGAGAAAAGTGAGGAAAATGTAACCAATAATGAGATACAGGCAGCTATAGAATGCAAAAAATGCACACAATGAACTTTAATACTACTAAGAATTACATAGGACATACTAAATTCTGTAACAGCTTGTCAGCACCTGAGGCAAAGAATGAACACCATTACAGATGAGAGATACCTGAGACATGACATGTAAGTAGTAATGGCTGGTGACTGGTGTGAAACAGAACAGATGATACAACATATGATGACTACTTGGAACCCAGGAAGAGCTCTACAGTATCTGCCAAACATTGTCCTTGAGTACTAAATCAGCTGAATACCTGATGAGACCATGAATCACAAAAGTGGTTCTGCAACTGTCCAGAATAAAGATCCAGAGGGGGCTAATTTGAATTTGACAAATAAATCAATTTCTGTCACCCTAGATTCTGATACCCTAGATTCATAAGGATTTCAATTAAAACAAACACAGGCAGGATTTCCATACAAAAACAAAACACACTCACATCAAGTCTCAATGTGCAAGGCATGAAACACTGGAGTTCTGATTACTAACAACTAACTGCATATTATCAAGTGTGGAATTTCAGGAATTCAGCAAAAACCGACCAGTTTGCATAATTTCCTTGCAAAACTACACAGAGAGAAACAGGATAACTAAAAGTGTTAGTCCTGCA